ATAAAATTTAATTTGATCAAGTACTTCTCAGCAGACCGGTGGTTACTGAATTTTAAAACATTTTAAAATGCATCAGAAGAAATGAGTCAGATAGTTCTTCATACACAACAATGGAAGTACACTTAGTCCCCAGTTAGGAGTACTGTGCAAAATTGTGTTATTTGAATAAATACAGGATGAAACTTTCCGGCTTCCAAAATGTACGTTCTCCCTTTACTTCCTTATTCATATTTGATTGCTTTTGTAAAGTAGGTAGCACCGTGGTGTTCTTAAAAATCACTTTTCAAAAAATAAAAACACAAGCTCCTATCTCTTGCATTTCCAGTTGGTATTTCCCATCGTAGGGTTTTGCCTGTTCATACAAGGGTTTGCTTCACATCAGAGTTCAACATCCCCCAAATTAATGCAGTTAGTTTATTCCTCTTTCTGATGATTGCCTTATATAGAAAAAAAATCTAATTGTTTTCATTCGGCACCATTCCCCATGTCTTTCTTGTGGCACCTGAGTGATTTTGTTAACTCCACCAAAGGAAGAGTCAACAGAACTTCTCCCGGTGGCCCGATTCTATTCGAGAGCATCCCTGGGAGGTGGGAAATAGTTGAGGTTGGCTGAGATAAACTCTTTCCCAAGTATGATACTGTTGCTTTATATATATATTTTTTTCCAGCCTGTATGATCAAGGGACTTTTCATTTCACTGAGGTGAAAACTCGGTCTGTGAGTGGAGCGACTTTGTTTTAAAAAAAAAAAAAATCAGAAACCAATTACTTGATATGCAGAGCTGAAAGCCTCATTCCCTTAACGAAAGCAGTGCAGTGTGCTCCGCTGTTAACCTGAGGAAGGCGGCTGACATCTCTTGATTACGGCTAGAGGTGGAAGGACCCAAACTTGCAGGATCCCCCTCCCCCTAGAGAGATTGTTAGTCCAGTCCTTTCTAGAGGTTCGTTTTGGCTCTCTGTCATCACCGGGACGCTGGCAGGGAATGTGTGTCATGGTTACAATACAGTGTGGTAACATACAACAAGCATGAAAGCCCAGCGGGAAAGGCTGCAGATTCCGGGGCTGACCTTGGAGTAAGTATTGTCTGTCTTTAATATTTTAATGCTTTCTGCATGGTACTCCGCTTTCCTGCAACCAATAGCTCTTTAGCATTTGTTTGTACTGCCAGCCTCAGAGCACCGCAGTGTGAGGTGGAGGAACATGTCTTAAATGCATGGCTTTTGGTTTTCAGTGGAGGGGGAGAGCCAGACCCTGCATTTTGCACTGCAGTCAGGAGAAGCGTGGCTGGCTGCGTATGTAAAGTTACTAAACCTCAGTGCTGGAAACATCTTAACAGCTCATTGTGAAAGAATGCCTCAGCAGGCCATGGTGTAGCTGTCTTTTTCTCCTCTCTCACTGTTTGTTTATCCCCATGCTGCCTTTTTCTCAAGAAAGGCCTCTGTCTGCATTGAATAACAGGAGACGTGACAATGGATTAGAGTACAAGAGAAGGGTTATTTGTAACGTTCATTAGATGTGATCCATGTTTTATTTGTGCAACAGAATATTAATGAATTGGAGTGCATTTTGAGTCCTCTCTGCAGTCTCCAGCCACTGCATATGCAGTGTTTACCTAGTTGAGGATCTGTGTTTGCTTAGCTTTTTTTTTTTTTTTAACCCGTTAACTCATCTGACCGCCTTCTGATTTGATGTCGCCCCGTGAAAATGCCCACATCTCATTTGTGGCGCAGAAGTTAAACATCTGTGATGCAGGAAGTGTCAGCAAATTTTTATTTTAAATCTGTTAGTCAAAGATGCAGGAACTGTGAGTTAGTCTGTGCTTGGCACGCTGAAAATAATAAACAGTCACATGTAAATCTGGTAGGGAAAGAGAGATACCCCTTTTTCTAACTTCCAGTGAAGATAGAAAATTACATTTTAGCTGAAATTCATACAGTCCCAGTCATTTTGTGCTGGATTACTTCCAGGAAGAACCTGCAGGAAGAGAGTACTGTGCCCAGTTCTGAGTATTGATTATTCCTCTTAAATCCTGGATATGCATCATATAAGGGAAATTACTCTGTTAATAAAAAATTAATAAAAACACTACATTTCTGAAGTGATGTGAATACTTTTCTAGTCAGTCCTTGCTCTCAAATTTTACACTGATTTTTTATTAACAAGTACTTGCTTAGAAAAAGTTAGAGGGCTCTTAGAACCCTCTTGCTAGTTGTGGCATTTTTCATAATGGACATACAAGCCATATTTACCCATTGCCCTGTGCCCTTCTCTAACTCCACCCTAGAGTTCAGCCCTCACCATCCTCATGGCACATGGCACATCTCAGTGGCATGCACTCATTCTTCTACTTAAGGCACCTCTCTCTGGCATTCTGGAAATGCACAGCTCAGATGCCAGTGTTTTTATGTTCAAGACCCAGGGTATGAACCCCAGCATTGTTTCACCTCTGTTTCTGGTTGTTTCACTTACTCGTTTTTTCAGACTTAGTAGTATACATCCTTCCACATTATGCCTTGTCCTTTTGTTTTTAGCATCTTGTCCACTTTAAGAGGACACACTTGAAAGGAACTTCTTACTACACAAGCTCAGTTGTATCAAATATTCTACCCATAATTTTTGAGAGTCTGAGGTAGGCCACAGATTTTATGACTTTGTCAATGATGACCCAGCGCATATGGATCAGCTAAACCCGGGGGGTTCCCTGGATTTTGTGTTGGATCAGGTCACACCCCCTGGGTCTAGCCTCTGAATGTTACTGCACATTTAAAATCGATTACTCCTCCATTCAGGGAGCTTGACATGGTAGACTAGGGATCACTATTAAATGTCACTGTAGTGTTAGCATAAAATTTACTGTGAACATTTTGCTTACCTTGAAACGTAAAATCCCTCGTAGGTAGACATAGTTAATTTTATATTCATTCGTGGAGAAAGCAAATTCTGCAGTCTCTGAGTAAATTCATTTTCTAACCACTGCAGAGAAATATTCTAATGGGAAGTCTTAAAAATTACTGATTTTATTAAACGCAGATTTAATATGTATATTATTTTAATTATTTGGGGACCTTATAACACACCAACTACATGGAGTGGTTCTTGAACATTCTTCCACAGACAATACTATTTCCCTTTGAGGAGCGAGTGTTCTGTAGGCACTGCGGCTGTGGGCTATGACACCAGCATGTTTTATACTCTGTAGATACAATTCAGATACAATTCAGGAATCACTTTCTGATTCCTGTTTTGAAAACTGAAATTTCTGGATATGAGATACCAGATGCATAAGTATTTCAGAAGTTAATGGATCATTAATTTATTCAGAAATTTCTGATGTATAGATAGCATATATGTGGCTTTACAGTTTCTGAGAAAGTAAGTTGCTTTTTTTCTTTTTCTTTTTTTCAATTTAAGGATAGAAATTAGTTTAAGGATAGAAATAGACACTTGGGAGCATGTATGATCCCTGTCTCAGCTTGGCACCATGGCATGGCTTCAGTGCCTATGTATGCCTATTTTCGGACCCAAAGGGACAGATAAGATTGTACTGAGGTTAAATAATGTCTGTATCAGTAGACATTCCTGAGAGTTTTCCAATGAGCTGCTAAGTTCAAGTACAGCATGTATAAGAGCGGTGGCTTTTGAACGTGCTCTGAATGTATAAGGAAATCCGTTCCTTAGTTTACTAAGTACTGGCACCAAACCGGAAGATGGTTTTAAAAGATTAAAAAACAAAACAAAACTTTGTGGAGACATTTTATTAATAAGTGGGAGCATTTGGAGCAGTAATTTTATCTTTCAGTTTAAGACAAATACAGCCAAATCTCAATTATCCACGTAATGGGAAACAAGGATGGAACTGAGAAATTTGATAAGCCCAACTCTGATTTTAGCCACCGTTGCCATTTCTCTGTTCAGTAAAGGGCACAACCAGCTGGAATCAGACAACATACAGCTCCAATCCAGGACCCCTTCTTGAAGATAGGCAAACATCCAGGTACGGTGTAGGGTCATGGCCAGTAGAGAGGAGCGTTCTTAAAAAATCTCATTGCACTGTGGTAGGAATTTCTCTTGCTCACTTCAGCCAAAGAGTTGGTACCAGAGTACCTGGCTATTTCTAATTTTGTTTTTGGTGTGTAAAAATAATTGGGAATTGACTAGTATTAGATTCATACTTTGATAAATCCATTGGCAAAATTTTTGAGTGGGATATTTGACAAATTTAAGTTATAGCTCTTCCCTAAAAAAGGAGATATAGGAGGCCAAAAGGAAAAAAGATAAAGGCAATGTAGGCTCACCACCCTGTGATGAATATTTGAGATCTGGCTGGTGAATGGGCTGGATGGTTTGGATAGATTGGTGGGGGTGGGGATTATAATGGTCCTTGACAGATGAAATTCAAAAAAAAAAAAAACCTCTCTAGAAAGTAAAATAGTTTATAGTAATATGTGTAAGAAATTTTCACATTACTTATTATAAATGTAAGAAACAGTTTTTACCATTGCCCTTGAGAATTACAGAAAATGATGTTGGGTGTTTTTCACTGCAAAGCGCTTAGAAACGTATCTTCCTATTTGGAAATGTTTGCCGCTTTGCCTTTTTAAATACTACAGTATTTAACTTGAATTCTGTTGTCTGATAACTACTTCCCTCTAGCTCTACTGATTTACCGTTGATTGTTGATCAGAATATACTGAGTAAAAGGGGACTAGATTTTCTTTGCAGACATCACAGAAGGTACCTGCTAAGTTGCTCTGTGACAAAGAAAAGGCATAAATGCAAATGGCAGCGGTAGCTTTGAGGCTGTCAGTTTCCGCAGGAAGCATTGCCCTTGTTCTCTATTTCAGAGCTGGAAAATGGCAAGTGGTGAGCTGATTACCTGGAGGTATTGATAGGCATGCCACAGTGATTCTGGCCTAAAGGGAGCACAGTCCCTTAAATGAGTGTTGCTATTTTTACTGCCATCATTTCCCCAATTGGAATGACATTATTTTAACTTTCAGTCTCACTCCAAGGAGCCTGAGTCCAACCCCATCCAGCCCAGGCAGCCCCTGTAGTCCTCTCTTCGCTTTCCACTTCTGGAGGTAAGCGCGCTCCAGTGCCGGCCCGGCCTGTGGCTGTTGCTTTGTCTCTGCCTTCCCTCCCCGCAGACCCCACAACACATTACTGGAACACCTGTGACTGCAATACACAATTCATCGTCCTTTCCTAACTGTCATCTTAGTGTTAACAGAGCAAAGCAACAGAGTAAGGAAGACTGACTGAGTTGTTTGCTTGGTGATTTATGGGAGCACCTGGAAAATGTATGGTGCTTCTCCCAGTTAGCTCATCTTAACTATATTTCACTTCATGCCTGGTGATTAGTTGTTTAACTCCTGTGTGTATGGTAGTTTTTCCTCTCGCTTTCTTAGGAGACGATCTGCTGAATTGGACAAATTTTGACCTGTCTCTTACAGTACAACTTACTGCAGTTTCTAGAAAGTATTTCCCAATTCAGATTAAAGTATTGTAATGTGGGTTGCCAGAAATTATTTTATATCCATCCTGTTATTTACAGGACAAAATGTTTAAATTGTCTAAAAGGATTAGAAATGTTCATCTCTTTTAGAACTCCCAACTACATCTCCGCCTTCTCATTCACAGGCTGATGTAAATTAATTCTTCTCTTTTCTTTCAAGAAAGATCTCCCAAGGAGCTCTACTTGTGTTTTAGCCTAGTTTGTTAGAAGAATTCACGGTAGAAAGTACTGTTCACATTGTATGTGTAATACCTATGTTCTATTAATATTTTCATGAATTCAGTGTCTGGTTAGAGTGAGTCTCTCCATACTTAATTAGAGGATACACATATCCTCTGCAATACGCAGCCACCACCCCCAACCTTTTTTTTAATCCTAAGAGAGAAAGTGGAATGAAATTCTCAGTTGATGGAAAGAGTGACTTAAATTATTTTTTGTTACTGAATACCTTTTTCTGCACATACTCAAATGAATGAAAATTCATGGCCATTTCCTATCACTGGGTCAATTTAACCTATTTGTTTCTCTTATTTTCTAAAGTAAGACTGAACTAAAAATTTGTGAAGAAGAATTGACTGGGGAAATGAATTAATGACTTTGAACTTTGGTTCTACTCTTCTGCTGATGGGATTACATTTATTGTAAAAGTGACTTTCACATGAAAGTTCCATGCAATAGCTTTCATAAAGCATATAATATATGCTCTCTGGATATAATAGATCCTAAAGCATGGGAATAGTTTTCTGACAATCCAGGGAATTTTCCTGAGTTTATAATTTGTCTCCTTTTGGTGATCCAACTGAAAGTAATTGGACTCTCTTCTGAATTTTTTCTTCAGTGTAACATGTCTTCATTAAATGCTCACATTCCCTTTTCTTTTTCCTTTTTCAAGACAATAAGCTATTCAAAATGCAGGTGCTATCAGTAGTAGGGGAGAAAAGAGTCTGAGACGAATGCTGTTGGCAGTATGGAAGAGGAAGAGGTTGAAAGAGTGCTTTTGGAGAAAGATGTATTGGACCTGGTGATAATTGAACTGGACCTTGAAAAATCTTGGTGTTTCAGTGGGGCGAGAGATGGTGGTAAAGGACAAAAAAGCAGGCAGAACATAAAACAATGAAGGAGGTATGCAAGTGTGGTACTCTGTAGACATGCCATGTGTAGCTGGAACTTAAGATGGTTAAAAGAGAAGAGAACCAGGAGTTGTAAAGAGCTTGATATGGACTTAAAAATTAATTTGGGAGCATGAAAACTGAGCTAAAAAGTTTGACTTCCATTTTGTAAGCATTCCAGAGTTCTGAATCAGGAAAGGACCAATGCGAGCTTAGACTAAGAAAAGTGAACTTTTACCCTTAATACCCTTAATGGGTATTAAGAACGGATGGGATTTCAGGTGGAAACTCCAATGAGGATGCTGGTACAATACTTCATGAGTACCAAGTCCTGGATTAGGACCAGTGCCATGAATTTAATTCACATGTGCCAAGTACTTTATAGTTAACTAAATGCTTTCATATACATGATCTCATTCAATGTAATCCACCATTGTAAGACAGAAAGGGATAATGCTTCTGTTTACAGGTGAGGATGCTAATACACATAGAGATAAACCAGCTTTGCTAGCCAAGGATTCAGAATGAAGTCTCGTATTTTTCCCACTGTGACTAACTTAAGATACATAGTGCTCTGAGATCATTTATATTGAATTTTAATTATCTGGTTTAGGTAGACCTGTGACCTCTCTTTGTCATTTTTATTTCCCTTCTCTCAATGCTTCTCTCAATGCCTGGAATGTATTGTTTCGGAAGTGTTTATCAAAGAATGAATAAATGAGCAGATTGGAAGGAAAAGATGTATTAGTTAAATCACAGCTCACACATGAACCACCAAATAGAGAATGACTCACATTCTCACTCCCAGACCAAGAGCATGAGAGACTCACTGCTCCACATGGCGATTTAGGGATCCAGGGGGCTCTTTAGCACATGCTGTCAAGTTTGCCCTGGGCATCAGCTTCCAGCTGGTGAAATGGGAAGGGGCATGGGAGGTGGTGAACTGCCAGACATGAAGATGGCACACATCAGTTCTATTCATATGGCATTGCCCAGGATCTGCTGTTCTGACTGCACCTATGGACAAGAAAGGCTGGAAAGTACAGCTTACTTGTATTAGGGAAAATGAATTTGCTCAATAGTTAGCAGTCTTGATCAGAAAAGTTGATGAAAGAAAGTCACCCATGATCGGTCTTCAGTAAATAATTTCAACTAAATGATGGGCACTGAGATTTCTAGCATTAAATGAATGGACCTCAAGAGAGCAGAGTTGGGGAGGGAGGAAAGTCGTCACCCTGAGTCTGACCTTGAACACCGGAGATATCTCTAGGTTGTGATACCTGGTTGTCAGCTTGGGACTGGGCATCTTTCATGGTGTGCCCCCAAATAATAGTCTTGTATGAATGGAGAGATTCCAAATATGTTCATGCTATTACCACCAAACAGGATTTATTATAACGCTGCACGGATTTTTCTTTCCTTGATTGTGATGGATCAGGTTTCTTCTCTGTTCTTTTTTTATGAGTAGTGTTTGCATGTCTAGGGGGAGAGTGGTGGTGGGGAGCATTCACAGTGTATGTGCCCTTTTGAGGTGCTGACACACAGTTTCTAAATATGGCAATGGAAGATTCTGTTCCTTTCATAGTAAAGCCCTAGTGGCAGACTATGCTGAGACGGGAGTTAGTGTTCCAGCTCAGGCTTCCTGAAGGTTGCCCAGAAACAAGACATCTGCAGATTCTAGGGCAACTCTGATGCTAAATGAAGTTTAAGTTGAGCTTAGTCCATCTTGGGAGCAGAACCTTGCATCATTGCATGGAGACCACAGCGTAGTTTGAGGGGCTGTGGGCTCATGGGCAGTGGGCTGCCTCATTAAACCTTCAATTTCGTGCCGCTGGAAGTCTTCCAGAAAAGCCAGCTTCCCACTTAGCTGGAAGGATGCAGAAGTCATTCCTACAGCCAGCAGAGCAGTAGGACCACACAATTCCCAAAGTCCCTTCTGCCCTGAAATTCTGACACCTTTGTTGTCTTCCAGCAGGGCTGGAGAGAGATCCAAAATACACAATTTGTCAGTGAGCTAAAATAAATAAATATATATATATATATATATATATATATATATGGCCCAAATATTGGTTTATTAGTACAGACATGACCGAGAACATCTTAAAAACCTTGACTGGAATTTCTGCATGCCTTCTCTTTTCCCCATCTGAGCCAATCAGAGCAACTCAGGATTTCCATAATCCTCAATATTTCATAAATTGGTGACAGTTGAGTGTCTGGTCATATAATGATGACGTCAGTGCCTCATGAGCAATTTGAATATGACCGTGTGCGCTCCTAATCTTGACTCTGATCATGTAGCAAGATTCTAAGGGAAGCTGCCTCGTTTTACGTTCTCTGTGTCTTTCTTGGCACTTAGCCTGCCTCGCCCTCAGTAGGGACTCAGTAAGTAGCTGGTGGCTGGCTGCCTTTACTCAGCAGCTGCATTTCTATTGTGATCGAGCATGTTCTTCTGTGTCTCCATTTCATGCCCCAGCTTCTTGGTGGACAGCCTCCCTTGGCGCTTCCATGGCACTTAGTACACTCCTCCTGTTGGACTTCTTCCATCCTTAGTTTACCTCTCCATTTGTTTCCTAGAGTCTCAGGTCATAGACACACAGTCAGCTCTACTAGAGTCGGCAACGAAGCACATATTCCATTTCTTCTTATTTCCCCCGAACCCCCATCACCCTACATCAGCTGTGACTACAGTCACACAGGCCACATTGCTGGTAGGACTCAGGACTCGTTTCCAAGAAGAATATCGCCGCTGTGCTACACATCCCACAAGGACAATGTGTTTTGTCTATTTTTCTTCACAGATGTATCCGCAAAGTCTAAAATAGTGCCTGACACACATCGTAGAGGCTCCTTAAATATGTACTGCTGGAGAAATGACCATTATCCTTGGGGCTCAAGGCTGTGCTGATGTTTTTACCTGTCCTCAAAACATGGCCTATGCTTCTATAGTATGTGCACTTTTTAAAAAAATATTTTATTTATTTATTTGACAGAGAGAGAGGTCACAAGCACGCAGAGAGAGAGGAGAATCAGGCTCCCCGCTGAGCAGAGAGCCCGATGAGGGGTTTGATCCCAGGACCCTGAGATCATGACCTGAGCTGAAGGCAGAGGCTTAACCCACTGAGCCACCCAGGTGTCCCTAGTATGTGCACTTTGAGAATGGTGTTGACACTTGGGAGAGGTAGGGCGTACATTTTGATTCTTTCGTAAATACTAAATGATAGCCATCAGCATGTAAAAACTGACCAGGTATCAGTTACAAATGAAGTAAGGTTCAAGGCCAGAGTAGACTGGCGTTATCAAAGAGAGGTGAACCCCACAGTATATCAGAGACCAGGCCTCACTCTAGTGAGGGACTGAGAAAATGATCTCGAAGTCGTGTTAGATCCCACACCAAAGAGGATACATCACTCAAAGGGAAGGTAGATGATACTGTCATAGAAGAGGGCATCAG